GTGTGCGTGTGCGCGTGTGTGTGTGTGTGTGGGTGTGTGTGTATGTGTGTGTGTGCATGTGTGCGTGCGTGGGTGTGTGGGTGTGTGGGTATGCATGTGTGTGTCTGTGTCTGTGGTGCGGGGTTTTGTGTGAGTGTGTGTCTGTGTGTTTTGGCAACATGTCTTCTTTGTCCGGCCCCTCACCTCTCAAAGATATGTGGGGGGGCGTCATGGTGGACCTATTTTGTTGCTAATTATGTTCCTAATTTGGTTTCTAATTTTGGTCTCATTGCTTCTCTATTTGCTGTATCGTATCTTTTTGTTGATTTCCTGTTTGTGCACTAGTTCCCTTGCCAAGCGTTTTTCTAATGTTTTCAAACAAATTACCAGGCCGGCTTGGCAATTTGAGTCCTAACGTTGACCTAGTGACATTTCCTATTTCCTAAGTTTTCCGGTGTGTTTCTTGGTTTAATGATTTTCGAACATGGCTAGAATTAGCTCCTATCCTCCACATAACCTTTACAGTCGGTGCGGCCGCGTCACAGGACTGGTCAATGATCGTCGGCTGCCAGTAATGCCAGTAATTGCAGGACGGCCCTGTGTTTTTTAGGCAGACTGTAATCCGCATCGAATGCAACCGTAGCACCCTTTCCTCATCATCAGGCACATGCTCTGGTAGCGATAGTTGTCCGTCGAAGGTCTCAATTTCTGAATGCAGCACATTAGCTCATGCTGCCTAAGTGGTGGTCACGGGTTGATTTGTATGCTTGATCAGCACCGTAAGCAGGAACCATCAGTAGTGTGCAGAATGTGCAGAACAAAATTCCCACATTATTCTCCTAAGCTTTCCGCATTTGCCCTAGGTTCTCTCCTGTTCCCCTTATGTTTCCAGTATTTCCAAGTCTTCTCATATTTTCCTCATTTGGTATGTGCCCTAATTTCCGAATTTGGGTCCTACAGTACGGAATTTGTGTTGCGGCAGTGTATAGAAATAGCCAGAAGCTTCACACTGCAAGGTATCATCTAGGTGAAGTATTTATCCGAAGACTCCATATTCTGAGCTTTCATCTTGCATCTTACTGCTCAGCAATACCATTCGGAGGTCCATAGTGTCATTCGTCCTCCTGTACTGTTCTTGTCAGGACGACGGTAGTTTTGGTGCAGCAGAAACCCGAAGAGTCCATACTCTTAGCTCTCATCTTGCATTTTACTGCTCACCAACACCATTCCGAGGTCCATGCTGTAAGCTGTTATCTTGCGCTACAGCCTGTTATTTCTTAGGAACACACGTCTGGCGGCACCCCGTCTCTTTGCTGGCATGTCGGGCATTAACGTCGCATTGCGCATGCATATAATTTACAAGTCCTCGTCATCAGTAGAAGCTTTTGGCAGCACGACCTGGCGGGGACGCCTGGCAACATATGCAGCCGCAGACTGGACCACAAATTTGCACCAGCTTGAGGCGCGATGTGGGACAGCTTGCAAGGGTCCTTGGATCGGAACCCGGGCCTCGAATTGGATGATGCGGGACTGCGTGTGGCAGACATCCTCACTGGAGACAGGGAGCACGGCGTCCCACAAGCCTTCCAGCGGGGCAGTCATCGCAGCACCGCGGCTCCATTTGAAGTCCGGGTTGCCGTCATGATTGGCTTGACTCACCTGGAGACGCAAATATTGCCCTGCAAAGAGTTTCTTGAAGGTCACAGGAGGGACGGTAGGCGACCTGGATGGACGTGCAGCGAAGTCCACTGGCGAGTATTCATCCCAATAGATGAAGCGAAGGGCCTGTTGGTTGCCAGGGAGCTCAAGGCCATAGATGCACCAAGCGCTGGGCAAAAATCCACAGCCTGCCGGCAGAAGACAAAGACCACCGGGTCGAAGATCATGCTCTTGCCCACGTTGGTGATGCCAGCCAGCATTGGCACACGGGCCGTTTTGTTTGACCCAAAGCAAATGACATTGGCCAGGCTTGCCGCAAGCAGCTCAGGGTCCACGGTGGCCTGGTTCCGGCGGAAGAAGTCAGAAGCTGCAGCTTGGTGCAGGTGGCTCAACAAACAACTGTTCACTCTGTGGGATCATTGTCCTCGAGGACGGTGTATGTGCGCTGGTGCGGCCATTGCTTCACCAAGTCGTTTCGCTGGAGCGACTCGTAGAAGGTCCGTGCAGCGCCCAAGGACTTCATGCACTGTCACCACCCTGCCCTTGCCCACACCCACGTGCAACACCACGCCCTTTGCACCCGTATTGTGCCGTAGGCCCTTTCCCTTGGGCTTCACATTCCCACGCACAAGCCTTTGCCGGGCTGGCGGGAAGCTCCAAATGTGGCATGCCGAGCTGCGCGGACACACGCCTGGCCATTGAATCTGAAATCACAGATAAGATACATGACACGCATGCTGTTGCAAACACATTGATTCTGCCGTCGACTGAGAACATGCAGACACACACACACACACGCTTACATTATAAGCATGCCACGAGTCGCTTTGACGCAGTCTTCAGTCAAGCGGAACCCCTGCACGCACGGTAGACCTCGAAGTGCTTGCCGTCGATGAGGGCGTGTACATTGTGAAGCCACCAGTCCCTCGTCTTGTTCCCGTACTTCTTCGCGAACGCGAGCCTGGCCTTCACGTCCTCAGGAGTCAGCACCCGTTTTTCGATGTTGCGCTTGTGCAAGGCCTTCAGGACCGACTTCCTGCTTGCCTTGCACTTGGTGGCCTTCATGGGAGCCTCCACTGTGACCGTGCTTCGACCATCAGCCTTGACAATGAGTTGATTCAGGCGTCGCTCCAACATATCCACCTCTGCGTCACTCAGAACTTCTGGTCTGCCCTGCTTCTTTGCAGCTGTCTTCATACAGAGCAACCTAGTCAGGGTGGATGTGTCCCGGTTCAGGAGCTCCGCGATCTCGGACGGCTTCTTGTTCCTCCTGGGCAAGTCTCCGCTCCTCCGAAAACATTTTGGTCCACCCTTCCTCTGGCACTGCGACACTGCGAAGCGCTTCGGCAACAAGTACAGACGGCTACATGCGCACACACGTCATCTTGCACACGCTGCACGTGCAGCGTTGGCCACATGCACAGACACGCTGAGGCTGCACACCGAAGTATAACAACAGGCTGACTCGCAAGCAGGCGGAGCACCCTGAGCACACAAACACATCTTGCGCACCTTGCACATGCCACACGGACACACGGCTTCGAAGCAATTTCAAGTCACTTATAGGAGCCCTGCGCACAGTCAACGGTGGTCGCACTCCCACCCACACACACACACTGATGCTGCACGGCCGAGCACACAGACGTGCTTCGTGCTTCGATGCACTCGAAAGTCAGTTATACGAACCCTGCACGCAGTAGTCAACGGTGGTCGCACTCACACATGCTGACGCTGCACGGCAGAACACACGCTGCACATGCCCCACAGACGGACGTACGGCTCTAATGTACTTAAGTCAGTTAGGAACCCTGCACACAGTATGTAGAGTCAACGGTGGTTGCGCTCGCACATAATCGCACATAATTACTCACGATTCGTGCAAGGCACACTAAAGCTGCACACACCAGCTCACTGGAACTAGACACATGCTTCAGACGCAGTGCATCGTCAAAAGTGGAGGAAAGCAGTCTTCTTGGACGGCTCTTGCCCTAAATCCCATGACTTTAAGCATCGCCACGATTCCCCTGCTACCCCTGATGCCCCTGATTTTAATGTTGCTCTCATGCAGGGGCTGGAAAAAGGCCTTGCGTGAATGCCCTAAATCCTGCATGACCCCATGGAGATGCAATTGAAATTGAGGCATTGCGGGGAAGTGGACAATGCGACATGAGATATGAGCGATGATGTAAGTCATGCAGGATTTTGGGCATCAACAGTAATTCTGGTGCTAGTTCTTCCTTGTTTTTACGTGTTTCCTGTGTTCCCTAGTCTTTCCTATTTTCTTGTAAGATTAAGAAACAGTTGCGAAATGCAAGAAACTAATACTGATACAATAAGAGCATAATCGGTAACCTAATTAGGATGTTTGAAGGAAAATATCAAACATGTAGAACATATAGTGAAACATTGAAAATTGAGAAGGAAAGTGGAAAACAGTAGAACAACAACTTAAGAAAACTAGGAAGTTAATAGAAATCAATAGAAGGCTACATGAAAACTATAAGGAACATAATGGAAACTTCATGTCCTATGTTTGGTCCTTTTCGGCTGTATTGTTGGTTCTAGTTGTCTTGCTGTTCTCTTCTTGTTTACCTTAGCTCGTCTTTTGCTTGTTGGAAGTCTGTCCCACCTGTGCTATGTATCCCCTATCTGGGGGTCTATCAATGTCCTCTGTTTCCGCTCTATTTGGCTCCTGCCTAATTTACCCGACACTCGGGTAGCGGTTTCTAATCTTTCCCGTTTTCCATTTTCGCCATATCCAGTTCATCTCCTAGTGAAGGCCTAATTTAATTAATTAGTTCAATGATTTCTAGAAGTAGCTTGCTATCCTCCACATAAGATTTCGGTATAGTAAGGTACTGCAACACTGTGTCGAGCAGCAGCACCTCAAGCCCGACTCCAGGCGCAGATCCACTCGTGGCTTTCCAGCATTAACTTCTTGTCTAATTTTTTCCACAATCGAGGGAGTTTGACCAACTGCCGGGCAGATGCCAACCCAGGTGCGGCTTCGGCTGAGTGCTTCACCCTGTGCGCAGGTGGTCGTTCACGGCTGGGATGTTGGCAGCAGACCTTTGGTTGAATCTCCCCACACAAAAGGCCATGAGTTGCCGATCTCCAGCTCACCCAAACAGCCGGCATCCAGAGGCACAGACACGTTCAAGCCCAAACTGATCCAAAATGAACCCTAATTTCGTCGGCACGACGAAGCTCAAAATTCTAACTTGCCGCAAAGCAGGCAGCAAACGAGAGCAGCGACGCTAAACTCGGCAGCCGACCAACCCCAGAAGCCCGAAGGCCCCCGCCAGGTGTAGACTGCCTCGGTCTATCTCGCTCTGCACTTCACCGCGTCGACGTGCTTCAAAGTAAACTGAGCCCCTCGCCATGTACAGATTGTCGAAAACAGCACCCCCAAAGTTGAGGATGGAGTACACCCACTGCAGCGAATACAGCTGAAACAAGGAGGACTTTCTGTGCGTCAGGGGACTGCACCGAAAGCTAAAGTTCGGCGTGGGGGGGGGTCGATAGCGACGGGGCCGCAGGGTGCAGAATTTTGATGCAACAGCTATTCGCAGACTGATCTGGAACCTCCTCCTTGACACAACAAAGTCACCAAACCTTCTCTGCCCGCGACATGCTTGCTAACACGATGGGCAGCTCTGGGTTTGGAAGTCACGGAATGATCACTGCTCTTCTAAGATCCCGCTCGCCAGACGGCTTCCAGATCCAAAGCAAGTGCCTTGGGTCCTCACGCCTCGTCTCTCGCCAGTCTGCATCGCTCGTCGTGGCAAGAGATGCTTTTTGGCGAACGGTTTTTTGTCGGTATTGCTTTGTTTTGCATGTTGTTTTAGTCGCGCTCTCCCGGCCCCGCCCCGCCCCGCCCGCCCACAGACACACGGAGACACACACACACACACAGACAAACAAACACAGGTAGACAGACAGACAGACAGACAGACAGACAGACAGAGAGAGAGAGAGAGACGCATGCACACACGCACGCACACACGCACCACATACACGCACCACACACACACACACACACACAAGCACATGCAACACACACACACACGCCCACAGAAACACATACCGTGGCACCGCCTCTCCAAACGGTGATGCTTCATGAATATGCCGTTTGGCCTCTTCAGTGGATTCGATTGCGGGTTGCCGCATGTTTTTGCAATGTGTTTTGGCCGCTGGAAGTTTACTGCACCATGTGTCCATGTGCAGGTCCCGACACGGACTGGATCGTGACCCCGGCCCGGGCCAAATGCCGTTTGTTTTCGGGTCTCGCAGCGCTCTGGGGGTTGAGAAACGCCTTGAGGTGCTCTCTGTCTTCCGGGGAACTTCCAGAGATTTCCAGACTACAACGACACAACACCTACAGTACACAGTTATGTGAAAGTGAGTGCGTCTAGGGTGAAGGCCGTTGGCGTTGCCCCACGATCTGAGTAGCCGACAGTGGGTGTGTCATTCTGGATGCCTTTGACCTTGTTTGATTGTCTTGCCGGCGCTATCGCATGATTGCCCTCATGCAGCTTCGAAACTCTCCGTCGAGCAGATTCCTGGATCCTCAGCGAAAACGAGATTGCCTCCCAGTCTCAAAGTTGCGCATGCAGTCTGGTCGATCAAGGCTGGTACACCGCAGGCACGGTACCCTCCGGGACGAGAGCGAGGATATTGTCGGAGCCTTGTGAATGCTTGAAGCAAGGTGTCGAGACTTCCACGCCACAGCAAGCCTCACTCAACATCGATCCCACTTGATCACAGGACGAGTACGAGTGAACTGTGAAGTGTCTCTGCACCCACTACTGCTCAAGCTTGACTTTTGGATCTGGGCTCATGCCAAATCTTCCGAGATTGCAGGCGAGTGAAAGCGGTTACCGGCCTGTGACCAATCCGTCGTCCACTGGCAGCATAAGGCTCCGTTCCCCTTCTGACGTCTGATTAGGCTTGGGTAACAACCCCATGTAATCGCCTGCTCCCACCTAAGCCCGAACTTTGGGGCAAGCCAGAGTTGAGTCGACTCCATTGCAATGGCAGCATCCACATCACGGCGGCGCTGCCCCAACAGTGTCCGAGAATCTGGCAATGCACAAAATCAAGATGCCACCCCACCACGTGTGATCGCGGAGCTACGTCCAGCGACACAAAAACCAGGGGTCAGGTCACAGGCTCCGGATGCATTTCACCCACACACACACACACGCTCAGACCTGCTCAATCGTGACTTCAAGAATTTAAGCTTGGCATCTGGGCACTGGCCTTGCTACTGGGCCGCCTAGCTGCACTTTGACAACAGGCTTGAACTCAACAAGGTCTGCTCAGACGGTGCCCTCAACAGAAGTTGTTGCCGGGCAAGTGCAGACCTGCGGGCCAGTGCTGCAATGATGCTGTGAAGCAGGAAAACAGGTGGCATGCTGCGGCAGTTTGTTGCAACTTTTCTCTCGACTGTTCCAGCTGAAGACTGGTATGTCCTGGCACAAAGCAATCCAAGCAACAGCGTGGTGCCGAAAATTGGACCGGCAATCTGGAAAATTCAACCCGCCAGGACTTGTCCTGTAGATGAAAGCTCGGCAAGGCATAAATGGCATAAATCTCGGTGATCACTGCAGTTATGTCCGACTCAATGGTCCTAATCGTGGAGAACCAAAAGCACAATTTAGGAGAAAAGTGAGAGAAATAGGAAGTCCAGGTTTGCAGGGAATACGGAAAAGTAGGGGGAAATAGTAAACGTAGGATAAAAGTAAGAATAAAATGAACAACAAATTGGTGGAACATTGGAATAACGTCAGAAAATAGGAAAACGAGGGCTAACACTCGGGAAAATAGTAAAGACGCATGCCCACAGGGTAGAAAAGAGCGCGGAAAAGTTGGACCGGGATTGTATTTTTCCTAGTTTCTCCTATTGTCTACAAGTTTATTTCCATTTCCGAAAACAGGGTTCCATGTGTTTCGATGTCTATCCTATCTTGGGCCACTTGCGACCTGACAAGAGTTAGCACAAGAGTCGGACATAATACTACAGCTGCGCCAGAGGTGATTTCAGAACTTGCAAAGCTCCAGGGGAACTCGTACCAACATCTTGCCCGTGTTCGTGCCGCGGAACAAGCCCATAATGCCATCAGGCAAGTTTTCGAATCCATCCACAAAGCTGGAGCAATCGGAGATCTTGCCCTCACGCAACCAGCTTGACAACGTCTCGGATGCCTCAGCCATTGCCTCAGGAGGGAAGAAACCCACGATAAAGCCTTCCATGCGCAAGCGCTTGGCAATGATGTGGAAGAGGTTTCTTACCCCATAGCGCTGCTCGGGCTTTGCATCGTATTGCGAGATGGCGCCACAGAGCGTGACACTGCCTGTGTCATTCATCATCTCCAGCACCGCCTCCAGGGTTTCGCCGCCGACGTTGTCGAAGCATGCATTTAAGCCTTCAGGACAAAGACGCTTCAGGGCCGCGAGCACGCTCTCATCACGGTAATTGAAAGCCTCAAATCCGAGCGACTGCAGATGTTTGACTTTGTCGGCGGAGCCTGCACTGCCGATGACCCGGCATCCCATCTGCTTGAGGGTGTGGCAAGCGATCAAACCTGTAGCTCCTGCCGCCCCGGAGACATAAGCCACATCGCCAGGGTTTGGGCGAGTCACATGCTTCACTCCCAGGTAGCCAGTCATAGCCGTAAGGGCTAAGCAGGAGAAGGCCGCGGAGGGCGATACTCCTTCGGGCATCTTCTGCAGCATTTCAGCAGTCACGGCATTGATCTCTCGCCACGGTGCAGTGGCGAAGACCATTTCGCCCTTGGAGAACCCAGCGGCCTTGGACTCCAGAACCAGCCCTGCAATCCGCCAGGTGATCACAGAGCCAGGCGTCCAGTTCATCATCTTGAAATATGCGGAGCCCTCGGTTCGCTCAGCCGCCTCCTCTCCTGCCATGGCATTTCGCATGGTCGGGTCCATGCTCATCAGGTGCGTGGCCAAGAGAACCTTCACAGGACTTCAGTGCACAAAGCGACTGCTCGCGATACGAGGGATTTCACAGGCTTCAGTGCCCCGCCTCGCCCTCCTGACATTCCGGCATTGGGCACTCACGAAGCTCCAGGTCAGTCGTCTGGAAGCCCTCCGGGCCGGGCCTTCCATGAGAATTTGATGAAACACTCAAAAGCCGCACTCTCATTTGGACCGACCCACCTTTGCTTCAGGATCCACTCCCGATTCTTCCTCGCCGCCATGGCCAAAACTATCCGGTTCCGGTTGGGACTACTGCAGGTCCAGGTGTCTAGCTCTGCGAGATTGCATGAGGCTGGCCCGCATGAAGAGCGCTGCTGAGCGAGACTGATGTGCTTTGAAAGCTGACTTCCAACCAGCGAGAGCCAGTCCATGAAATGCTCTTTGCACCTATTTTCATTCAATTACATAAACTTCCTTGCGCAGATTGATGTGGCCATTGGTTGGCAGGCGAGACTCTTGCGCAATCGTGCGTCTTTGCTTCTGGAATTCCATGCTCTTTGCAGCATGGCCCCGTGACAACGCGGTTGGCCACATAACACATCGATACGCACTGCGCCTCGTTCGTCACTGGCAACTTTCCAGCAGCGGTCCTGCCGCTGATCTTCCGGATTGTTTCCCGTCAGTTATCCTATGTCCGCAATCGATACGGCATCCTCCGGCATACATGTCGATAAAGCCAAGCACTATGAGCCGCGTGATCAGTTAATGCTTCAACTGGCCAAGCATGCCTTTATAATATGTTTTCGCACTTTGCTCTTGCAACTCTGCCTTCATCAGCCACCGTACCTTGCTGGCCACGAAGTGGGCAACCTCCCAGGCAGCACAGTGCATTTTCGACTCGGGAATGTGAGGGCAATGCTGACTGGCTCATAGCGTGAATAAAAGATGCTGGTGGGGCGGACATGGCTTAGTGAACAAATGTCAACAGCCTCCTCAGCCGCCGAAGCTGGATCCAGATCCGCCTGCCGCCATCTCCATTTCTTCGGATCACAGTTCGGACAGACGGGGCCGGATGCTAGCAGAAGTTCTCAGCGCACAACGTGTGACCGATGCGGCCTTGTTCGCTCGCATAGAGAACCTCATCGTGCTGAGCCAGCGAAGAAAGCTCTCACAAGCTTGGTAGCTTACTCGGTGCGGTCTGGAAAGAAGGGACCTCAAGACAAGAATCACCACCTAACTGCCCGAACGACCACAGTTCCTCGGGCAGGGGAAAGATGCATATGATAGACAGGTAAAGGGCTGCTTAAGAACTCGCTGCAAGCAGCCCGAACAAGTTCGGCGAGGATCAGAGTAATTCAGACAGGCTTATAAGGTCCTCAACACCGCAAATTTGCTCTACACTTTCACTCCAATGACGTAGCCCCCGTTCTGGCAACCTGGAGCTTGTTCTGTCAAGCTAAATGGGCCCAAGACGCAAATGCAGCTGCATGGGCTCCAGCCGCCACGTGTGATGGGGCCCGCGGTAGAGGCAAAGGCTCGTGAGGATGTTGCATTCTTTTCCTCAGTCGCAACGCGTCCAGAGAGCTCGAACAAGGGGTCAGCAACTACTAGCAGTGCAGGAAAAGCATCGCAGAGCTCCCTGGCGATACCTCAACAGCATTGCAACCCGGACTTCCGGTCATGTGCAAAAAACTTCCACATCATGGAAACCAGCCAAGACACGTGAAGATCACCTCCTGGCTTCGGGCTGGATGGAGGGCCATTGTCAGTTCCTGCTGCAGAACATTGACGGGCTTTCGCACTTTAAGTCTTGCGTGGGCATTTATTTGCACCAGTGCCTGGAACTGCTGCAGCACATCATCCGATGCAAAAGCCAGGCCGTCATCTGTTCCCACCTTGGCAAACGCAGACGCGGGCCCATGGCACATCATGGCACAAGGGCCAATGAAAACCTCGTAGTTCAAAGTTAGGCAGTAGGGCTCGCACTAATGCAAAAATGCATGCAAAGACGTTCTCTGGGAGCCGGCCCAGATGCAAGGACATGCTGTCCCCGGCAACTGTGCCCAGGTGCAGAAAGTCCTGAAAGATTTTTAGCGTGCACCGTGACTTTGCTGCCCAAAATCGGTGCTGGAGTCTAGTGACAGCTAGTCTTGGTCAGAAGCCGCGCATCTGTGCGAGTCAGCCTGTGGAGGCACTTGACGACTCTCTACGCATCGACCCGACAGCGAAACACAACCAACTTGAGTCATCCAGGCGCCATGTCAATGTGTCGCTACCGTAGTGCTTCGAAGATTCGCCCCGGTGAAGCAACACAATCCGCAGTGCAATCCAACTGGGCCACATCTCTGAATGACCCTTGTGTTTCTTGATGTCCAACCAGGAAGCTACAGTTCGGAGCCCACACAAGGTGCTGCATAATAAGAAATGCCAAGAACCGAAAAGATAGACATCAGTCTGTCGTTGCACATTTTCAGAAGCTAGCGATGTGAGAAACAAACATACCAACATAAAGAGAAGAGGCTGGTGCGTGTCTCCGAGGCTCGCCCACCCTCTTCTCAGTGCGTACGCCCACACCCACAACCAACTAAATATGACATTGCTGATGACTGTCATAATGACACGCAGCCTCCTCGTCGTCACGACCAATTTCGGAAGCCTGACTGACGGACGACCGAGAATCAAGCGGGGCATCCGGACTTCGGTATCCAGATTTACATGACAAGCTCGAGGTGTGGCGTGCAACTGGCGGGCCACTTGGCCTGCAAGCTTCTCGGCTGGTGTGCTGTGTACCTGCCAGCCACTGCCAGGTCGAGATGGCATCACGGCGCTATGCTTCACTCTAAATCATAATGCCCGAGGACTCGAGGACATGCATGCAACACGGCCGTGGCGCTGGATGCCCTCGAAGCGGCTATCACCTGCTCGCTGTTGCTGCACAGAGAGTAGGAGTTAGGACTCGGACTCTCAGGACACCGTGCGCGGTCAGCACCTTCCCAAACATGTCGCACGTACTTGCCCTCCTTCGTCATGAGCAGGCACACGCACTTGAGCTGTCCTCAAGGGCAGCCAACGCAGTGCGGGGGACTGGGTTTGCGGCGCTCTGGATATCTCTGGATCATCCAAGCGTCCCTGTCCCTTCCAGAAGAGTTTCCTGAGAAGATTGTGCATGGAAGCTTACATACACACTGACACTGATCACCAACCCAAAGAAAATGCCTACAGTAGGGGTTGTGGGCAAGCACCAAGAAACCCAGTTTCACACTTCACAAGGCCAAGAGTCAAATCAAGAGCTTCTGCGTTTGCTCGACTGCACAAGCCAACGACCTCGTTGTAACTTGTCGCATCTGCTTCCAAAGGATAGCAAGCTCACAGACCCACTGATGTTGAAGCAGAGATGCTCGATCTGGCATTGTCCCTAGGAGTTCCTGCAGCAAAGCTTCGAGCACCACATGCTGCAAGCTCTGCGACTCCATCGAGGCATTCGCGGCACTGGCGAGGCTCCCCTCAAGCCGGTCACACAGAAGAGCTCTGCAGGCCTGATCCTCATCTTGAGATTTCGACGTCACGGGGAAGAGCCTTCAACACTTCGGCAGGACAAGCAACAATCCATTAAAAATGCCCGGGCTTAAGTGGCACTCTACCTGTGTCTGAAGACTTCAGTCACACACCAGATGACTGGGGCAAAGGGCTGGAGCGTAAACCGTGGTTGCCGAGCAACCAGGCTCGATCGTCCTTGGCATCATGCTGCCCGAGCGGTAAGCGAAGGAGCTTGAAGATGCCGCGCAGCATCGACCTGCATGCCTGCCCAAGCACAAGCTAGTTAACATCCTTGGTGTGAAGCACCAGCCAATCGAATTTGAGTTGTGGCTGACATGATGAGTGCAAATACAAACAGTATTTACGTACCTGTTTCTGCATCCTGGGCCTGAGAGCTTGCCAGCGAATCGCTGCTGTTTGCCATGTGCAACAAGCGCGGGCTACCCCAGAATCTGCATGTAAGAGTAGTAAGAGTAGGGATCATACAAGCGGCCATGGCATCTACTTGACTGTTCCGTGTCCGGCATCGGGCACGGGTGAAGCAAGTCCGTTTGCAGGACTCTGTTCCGCCTTTCAGCCATGTTTTCCCATGATGCTTTCAACCGAAAACAGCTGCGATCACTGCGTAAGGGCCTTCGGAAAAGATTGCACGAGGAGCACAAGGAAGCTTAAGCCCTGCGCTCTCAAAAAGCTTCTTCACGCTCCAGAACCAGTATGGCATCACCTGGGTTCAAGATGCAAACTTCTCAGCCACAGCTTCTGTCAACACTTACCTACATGTCAAGCCTTGGATGTGCTGTCAAGAACTGAAACCAGGCTGATCGAAAGGATCAAACAGGGATCAAAAATAAACACAAAAAATTCCGAATAATGACCAACCAATCAAAACCTGGGCTCACAATCAAATCAAAATACCGATTGAAAAACCAACAGCTCAAATTTCGTACATGCTGTACTAAAACATGCCAGTGTTCAATCAACACAAACAATGCTACGACTACTACTCAAACGACGACGGACGACCGACGACCACGACGACGAGGACGTGCTACAACTACCATGAAATAGTTTCTAAAATATTTATTACGGCCACTACTACTGCTACTACTACTGCTTCTACTGCCATACTACTACTACTACTACTACTACTACTACTACTTCTTCTTCTTCTTCTACTTCTACTACTACTACTACAACAACAAC